TATTTGCCAAATGTGAGTGCCAAATTGCATTAAACATCATATAACTTAAACGGTGGATTTTATCGTGGCTATTAGCCATCCAAGCGATTAAAATGGTCGTAAACAACATATTCACAACTCAATGATTTCGATATTGCCGCATTGAATCTGCTGCTCTTTTAAGTTTTTAATACTACCACAAACTCCAAACACCACAAAATGTCATTAATCTAACTAATAAGTTCGCAATTGGTCTCGCATTTATTTGTTGGCAAACCCGTCAATTTGTGGTTGCCGATAGAAAAACCCCATATTAATAATGAGTGTTATTTACGTTATATATATATGAGTATCACTGAAAATGCAATTCCCAGCGAGTATTTATCACAAATCCTAAAACCACTTGGTGGGTCAAAAGTTATGTTTAGTACAGCTAGTTTGAAAGACGAAATCTATTTTAAGCAGACCGAGTCATGTAATACAAGTATGATGAAGTTTTTTCATAAAATTTTTTTAGTGGCATTGTGCATTCCATTAACAATAACATTTACAATTAAACTATGTATATATTTGTCCGCTGCTATTTAAAAATATACTCGTACGAGTATGTATGTGGAACTATGTTCTTCCTTTAAAGCAGCAGATTATTATGTCACGTACTTAATTTCGTACTAAAACCTTCGGTCAAGTGTTGCTGTCGGATATGTTTTGTTGCTGTTTTTGCTGATATTGCAAATGCTACTCATATTCTGTAACTAAACTGTTTTATTACTTTCAAATTATATGAGTGAATAACTCAAACCGCTACTATAATACATATTTAAAGACTGTTGTTGCAAATAACATATTTTATAACTGGTTATTTTCAACCACTAGGCATTTGGAAATAGTTGGAATTTTGGCAAGTCAATTGCTAAAGAATAAAACATAATCATTAGTGTTGATACCGGACACACTTTTCGCATTTGAATCGCCAACTAGCAACAGAGATTTTTTTCTTTTACAGCTATACATATGAATACATAATTGCTTTGTAGTTTTAATATGCGTCATTAGCATTCGCAACTAAAGAAGTAAAAACAAATAAGGAAGGGCTGAGCTCGAGTGGAACCGAATATCTTTTACTCTTGCAACTTGCAAAGATCGAAAAGCTAAGGTATACTTGATAACAATTTTCAAACAATTTAATAAAAAATATAACTTACACACACTGAACGACATGTTCGGTATAATGTTCGTTAGGATAATGAAAATCATTATATGTAGTATTTGGGAGTTGGGGTAATGCATGGGCAAATTCACATATTTTCGGCATTAAATTATAGTACATCCAATATTATACGTTCAGTTAATTTTGCTAATAGCCGAAGTTCGAAAATAGTTCTATTAGTCATATGGGGGATAAGGAACGTATTGACGCGATTTAATCCATTTCTGACATACAAAAAATAATTGCAATATATTATATACAAGTATCTCATATATTCACCGATATATCCGGTAAAAAGTTAACAACAGGCACTGAGGTCACCATATTTGGTATCTGAGGACTTAAACAGTTAAAGTTATGATGGCATACCCCAAAGGAACTATTGGTGAAAAGTTTTAAAAAAAAGGGTGTTTTTTAGAGGTATAGAACTTTAAATTGCAATAAAACAGCGATAGATTATTCGATTGACATGAATTTTACTTATCCGAAAGATAACCTTGCGGAACTATATTTGAAATATGATTTCTGGCATATGACCGCCACGGCTGGCACGGATGTCCAATTTTCGATGACTTTCTTTGTCCAACATTTGTTGCCGTATATCGGCAATAACACGGCGTTTGTGGCGTATGCGCATAGACCAATGACTTTACATAACCCCACAGAAAGTAGTCTAGCGGTGTTCAATCACAAGATCTTGGAGCCAATTCACAGGTCCAAAACGTGAAATTAGGCGGTCACCAAACGTGTCTTTCAATAAATCGATTGTGGCACAAGCTGTGTGACATATTGCGCTGTCTTGTTGACACCACAGCTCCTGGACATCATGGTTGTTCAATTCAGGAATGAAAAAGTTAGTAGTCATGGCTCTATACCGATCACCATTGACTGTAACGTTCTGGCCATCCTCGTTTTTGAAGAAGTACGGACCAATGATTCCACCAGCCCATAAAGCGCACCAAACAGTCAGTTTTGCTGGATGTAACGGTGTTTAGACATACACTTGAGGATTAGCTTCACTCCAAATGCAGCAGTGACAGTGCTACTATTACGCCCATCTACAATACCGAATTTCTTATAGTGGCAAGGACCGTGTGTACCAAGTTTCATCACGATATTTTTATTTTTACTGAAGTTAAAACTTGAATGGACGGACGGACGGAGAGACAGACACCCTGATCATTTATATATACATAACCCTATATCTACATATCACAATTAGTTTTAGGTGAGACATATAACAGTTAGTTGAACATAACTACTATACTCTGTAACAACATGTTGCATGAGTATAAAAATATTTTAATTTTTTGTGCAAGAATTATTCATATTCGCACACACATATGGTACATTCATCATATATATGAATGTAATAAAATGCCTTATAAATACACATAAATATATATATATACATATAAATAAAATAGTGAAACATATATGGATGTCAAACCCTGACCTGCGCTTCAACACGTTAAATGCGCATGAATAACAACTATGATTAGCGTGCTGACTACTAGGAACACCGACAGCGACGTGTTGTGTAAAATAATTAGTCAGTGTTTTACTTGTTTAGGTACGTAGATATGACTTTAAGGGAATTTCTTTTTGTTATTGTATAATTTTTTTTTCAGTTTTGATAATATATATTTGTTTGGATCATTCGAAAAACCAGCTTTGCATATTAATCATAGTAAGATATACACAAATATCCGTTAATCGTTCAATAACTTTAGTAGAAGGTCAGAAAAAGTAAAGAGTTTTCCAGTTTTCGTGTTTTGTATGCTAATTAATTGCATAGACCTATTTTAGAGGTATACCATATACTTATAAAGAGTGCCATTGAAAGTGACATTTTAGATATCGGAAATTTTGGATTAGGAAGTACATTCATACATGCTTAAATGTAAACATTCCTATGACGTTGAAAGGCGAATGAGAATATGACAGATACTACCACTAATACAAACAATACGTTGATGATTATTAGTCGCTTTACAATGACAACCAATCCTTTTGCCTTTTCCTACGAATGTATGGTATGCATACATACATATAAACAACATTCGCAATCACTTAGGGGAGATCGGATCATTTAGATTTTTATTTTTAGAATAAGAAACACTGCAGACAATTCGTTCAAAGAGTATATTTTAATGCATATATGTTTTTTTTTTTTAATAATTGAACGACAGAAAGATGTTGGAAAATGGCGAAGGCATCCATGTTGCAGTGGAACGTGTCGCAACTGATACCGTCCATTGGCGTGAAATTAGCATCCGTAATTCTTAACTTTAACAGTGAATATATGTATGTAAATATTTTGTTAATTTTTATACCTTTTTACCCTGTATGAACCTCAGAAAGCCAATGAAATCTAAAAATTATTAATTTTTCCTTGTTTGAACTTTAAAATCGATTTTCATTTATTCATATCAATGATTCACTAGAATAGTTTTCCATGCTTTACAAAATAGAAGTTGAATCAGATTAATATGCGAAATATGGTAGCTAACCCGCAATCGTGCACGCGCTTGTCTATTACCCGAAATGTCTTTTGAACCACTTCGAAATCAAAATTAATATTTTACGCATATAATTGTAGATATGTAGGTTTGGAAGAGATTAAACAAAAAAATAACTAATCGATTTTTTTTCGATTTAAAGGGTTACATGGGTTTCACGGCTTTAAAAAAATGGTTATTGTCTTATTTAATTCTATAACAAGTTAATCCGAGTAATAGTTTTGGAGATATAGCCTTGGAAAGTTGCGCGCCAGTAAAGGAACGTATTACTTATAATATTATATCACCAAAATATCGTAAGCAAACAAACATCAAAAGAACCGTATGTTTCAGTAAACTAAATATATCAAAACAACCTTTCTTTGAAGGAAGATAGTGTATCAAAACCACATTAAACAAAATACATCAAAATAACCTTATTTTAGGCCAAAGGATATACATACATATTAAAACAAACAATATATTATATGTATGTAAACAAACTATCAACTATCAATTTTTACATTTGTGTTTTTCCTTCGTCCAATACCTACTTTGTTTTCTTAAGTAAAGCACGTATTTTTTTAAATTTTACTTTTGATGATCCTGTAAGAATTACTTCTGCTTGGAGGCACCTTTTTTTTGGGAGACTGCGAAAAGACGTCGTAATGGCTGAGTTTAAATATTATGTTTAATTTTTTATATGGAAAAACAATTATTGAAATAAGCCGTTTTTTGCTCGACAAAACCCATGTAACCCCTTAAATGATCGGACAACCTTAAACTTTTAACCTGATCTGACATGTAAGAAATTCAAATAAGAGGTCTTTTGGATATTTGCTTAGTGGAGGTATTGACAACAGACAAATATTGCCTAAATTTAAATCGAGGATTTTAAAGCATTACCAAGAGCCGTTAAAGGATAACCGAGTAGAAAAATCTACAATTTTTTTGGTTTTACTCAAACAAATCGCTGTATAAATTGATATGCATTTAATATTTTGAAGCGATTTGTGTACTTTAATTGATTACTTTAAAAACCTTATTATGCTCCAACACTAATCTTACTTCTCTCACTACTCAGCCAAAGTTTAAGAAACGATCAAAGTCTAAGAAAGTCAAAGTGTCCCATTTAATGAATTTTTCAAGTACATAAGTCATTTATAATTTCAAGCAACATTTATTAATTTAAAAACGGTGTTTAATTCTGTATATAATCCGACATCTGGGTACTAAGTGCATGTAAATAAATATGTTTATGTAAACATTAAACAAGTACAAACATATGTATGTATATACTCATTACTTTGCAACAGAATATGCTAGGTGACCAAGAAGGTGACGAACAATTTTAAAATTTTACTCTACAGTCAATCGTTTTGACCAGGAGCAAGAGCAAACTGCTTTAACAACCGCCGAATGTTGCCAAATACAAAAGTATCAGGGAAGCAGCAAGACAGTTCATCTTAACTTTAACATTCAATTAAATTATAGTGTTGAGAAATTGTGACAGTATTGTTTCATAAGTAAATTTCGCATTATTGTCTCCCTTTATTATACAATAACAATGAACACTTTTGTAGAATTCATTTTATTACACTGAAGCACGAGACACATTTTATGAGCAACAAAATCATCGGCGAGCGTCGTCGACCATCGACTGACTACAGGTGCACAAAGCATAAAATAGAAATCAAATAAACTTATTACTCAAACAAATTTTGTGGAAGGCGCGTGCGTACACAATTAAGGTTTTTCTTAGTAAAAATGCAAATGTTATCTTCAACAAAATTTGAGCACACTGCTGAGCAGTTGGACAAAATCCAGGAATTGTACAATTTAGTGGAGTGTGAGTGTAATAAAAAACATACAGTGGAAAATATATAGGACAACAACGATAAAAAGTTTATGTCAAAATATTTTGTAAAGTTAAATGTGCTTTGAAATACAATATAAATGATAAGCATGATATTTTAAATGTAAAATATCATAAATATAACGATAATACCGATCTAGATCTTGAGATGAACCAGAATTGCAATGATATATGTAATAAGAACATACATACATACAGGGTCTACCAACAAAAACGACGTGATGCTAAAATGAAATAAAACACTCAAATTTGGTCAAAATGGGTTCGGTTTTTTTTTGTTATGCAGACAACTTTATGCCATTAATGATTTGAACAACTCATCTTTTTACGCTTTTCAAGCAACAGTGGCCATTTTTCTTAGAGAGAAACACTGAAAGCTAAGCGTTCATTGTGGCATATCCTTTGTTTTCTGCGCTTCGTTGTTTCAGTATGAACCAGGGATAATGGGATGCCCAACTCTTTCCATAACATTTTCGACTGTAGCCAGAACGGACAAAATAATAATTTTTCGCCAGTGAAATTATAATACCCAACATTCATTAAGATTAAATATTATTATATATGTATCTGTTAAACATATGGAAAACTATTTAAATCCATATTTGTGATTTTGTAATATATTAAAACAACTGATTTTTGAACTTTCAATACTTAAAGAGTGAAAAAGTTTATTAACTCTCAATTAGTAAATGTTTTTTATGATTTTCAATTGACAATTAAACTACGAAGCATGACGCCACAAAAGATTTCATCACATACATTTAAATTTAGCGTTTTCTTTCATTTTTATTGTTTTACAATTTTTGTTAGTGATCTTCAACAGCGGCAACAAATCTCTTTGTTCATTCATATTTTTCTGTGGGATTTCAATCTGGCCGTCCCTCTTTTTCCAATTGCTAAACGTCAGACATCCTGAACTTTGACAATTGCCTGAGTTCAGGAGGTTTTAACGTTTAGCAATTGCGCTTTCATTTCCAGTGAGAGATGAGTTGGGCATCTCTTCACGCTGGTATGAACTGTCACGTAAAGCGAGGAAAGTTGTATGTGAATGAGTCTTATCGGTATTTCATGCCTCATTTCGAAAGAAATAAGCTCCTGCCGCCGTGCCACAATCCGCACCAAACGGTAAATTTTTGAGGATACAACTGTTTTTCCTTAACCACACGAGGATTTTACTCACCCCAATAGCGACAATTTTGTTTGTTGACGAAGCCATTTAGCCAGAAATAGGCCTCATCTGAGAAGATGATGAAAACGTGAATTTGCGTAATAATATTGAACAATTTTTAAGCGTTGTATCAAAGTGATACGTGGGATGATGAAATGGCAAACTTTGCTGAACACATTGACAAAATTTGACACAAATCCCTAAACAAACATGGCCACCACGAGCTGTCAGATCAATTTTATTCCTATAGGTAGACACTGTACACATTGAGTTATGAATTTTTATATTTAATATTGATCACTTTTTTATTTATAACTGATCATCTAAGCACGAAATTTTAGAGCCAAATATCTTATTTCTTAAAAGTTTGTGTTATTAGATCTGAAACATTTTCAAGTGAAACTCTCTCATCCCAACATCTAGCTTCCAATGAGTTGGATATAAGCGCCGATGATATTCTGCTTTCCAAATTCCTGACATTTTCTGAATGGCAAGTTGAACGCGCTTATGAAGCCATCAATAGGTATTACAACTTTAAACTACATAATCCCGAATGGGTAGCACATCACGAGGTACATTACTTTCGGGATCATTTTTATAAAACACTCAACAAATACATTATGCCTAAGCCAGACAAAGACGGGCGTGTGATTTTTGTGTCGAAAACAGGTAAATTCAGTTAAAAAATGTTACATGTTTTTTTATTTTTGATTTTAAATTATAATTTTCACTTTTTATAGTCGATGCATTTAAAACATTCCCTAATTATATGTACGACATTATAGAAATGGATGATTTAATATTCGAATCGGTTTTACTATTGCCACAAGTGCAAAAATATGGAATCACTGTTATTAGTGACTTAAGTGGGTATGTAAAGACTTAAAAATTTAAAACTGCCGTGTAATACATCTTTACATATGTACGTACGTACGCTCACACATATGTAGGTACATATGTACATATACATACATATGTATGTATATATTTTTGTTTAATTTATAAAGTAAAGATATTTTTATAGCTAACAAAAGCACTTTTCTTATAAAATATTTAAAAATATAAATAAATTTTATTACTTACTTGCAAATTCACTCGAATTAACGACATTCATAAAATTCATCCATCAAGAATACATGTGCATTCATTCATTCAATTTTTTAGTACCAACAAACGATTTTTGCGTTTTGCCTCCCCTGCCATGGCCAAAATGGTGAATGCCAAAAATGATGTCATGCCGTTTACATCACGTATTGTACATGTCATACAGAAAGGCATGTTTTTGAATGCCACAACCAATTTGATGATGTCCTTTGCTAGTAAAGAGTTCAAAGACCGTGTAAGTAAATAATAATTATAAAAAAACACATATTTTATACTTTTATGTCATTGGAATATTTTTTCTTATTATTTTTCTTGGTAGATACACATTCACGATGGCAAGAATTTTGACAAACTGCGAAACATGGTGGGGTATGAAAATTTACCGGCGGAGGTGCGTATTTAATAATTTGAATAAATATTTGAAAAAATAGGTATTTAAAAAATATCTTTTAAACTACGTAAAATGAGTCAACTATTGTAGCAAAAATTAAGGAAATTATGCAACAAATTTAAGTTCTAGTGTGAAATACGTAAATGAAATTAATTGTTCATTAATGCCCAACTTTTATTTCCTTAAAATTTCACAGTATGGTGGCCCCAAAGAAAATGAGCTGGATGTAAACATATTATACGAACACTTGTTGAGGCACTCGACATATCTCTCGAAACTCCAAAATTACAGAAGAAAATTTGTAAATTGAATGTTAATATATTGTAGTTTATTAAGCTAGGTATTAAGTGGTCATCAGGATTCAATACTAATTTCAACTCCTTTATAGTGTTTTATAGTTTAAATTGTGGTTTCGTAAAAAATAAAATAATAATAATAATAACAAGATATTTTTTCAAGTAATTGGAAGAGAGATATGGATTTTTCTATCCGATTATAAGAAAAAAATAGAGAACTGTTAAGCGGAGGGCCTTCCCTTACAATTAAGCGATTATACTTGGAGAGATTTTCGTAATGAAGCCTAAGAACATATTTTTCAACCAAACAAAAAAATCGGATTTTGACCCACCCTAATATATATAAACATCATCTATGCACAACTATTATAACGGTAATAATCTATAACAACTGATTGGTAACACAAAGGCATCCAACAAATTTCGAATATGGAACCATTTGTTGAACGTTTTACCAAAAAAACAGGTAAAGATATTAAATGACTGGTATAATGTTATTGGATTCATGTGTGATTAATTGATAAGCCATTTTTTTAACAGTATTTCAAAAAAGGTAAAACCGGAAGTTTATTTACCTTTCTAAAAGTTTGAAGTTTATGTTTCTCAAATTTTCCAAAATTCCTCCTTCATCCAACATGAAGCATCGCAAAGCACGTATTAAACAGCCAAATGTGGTCTCTCAATCAGGATTCAGCCGCAAAACAAATACCATTATATGAGTTCTTTAACAAAAATGCATAAAAACCTTAACACCTTTTTCAAATTCCATGTTAAATTACTTCACTTAATTCATAGTAAGTGAATATTTATACACGCTGCACTAATAAAATTATGAATTACTTTTTGTTAAGTTTTTGACAGTTAGAATAATTTTACATTTCTTAAAGTATCGACATGTTTATTTAACGCTTCTTTTGTAATACATCCATTGTTGGAATACATTAACTTCACATACACATATATATCGTTTATTAACACGGCACGCAATTAAAAGCACTTTTACAAATTTCCATAATGATTTCATTTGAATATAATTAATGTAAGTATGAAATATTTATTGCCTTTCAGCTGTCAAACTATAAAGGAAATAAGAATAGAAAAGACTACAGCAATATCCTAATTAGCCAAAGCGGTCATTAACGTAATTATTATTTTTTGTTACGATAAAAACGTTTTAAAAATCCAATGAACACTCAGATGATTCATTTACATAGGTTTAAATTAATTATTCTCATTAAATTTATATACTCATTTGTTAATATTACTCCCGTGCGGCTAAAGGCCGCCTACGCAATGAGGAATTCATTAAAATAAGGAGCAAATATAATTGTTAATTGGGTTAATATTCTGTTCCCCTCCAAAGTAATCGTAGTTGGATAGAATTAGATAAGGTTAATTATTACTTGATTATATATGTACATATATTAATGCTAAATAAGTATTATAATTCTTTCACTCATGCACCCCCTGTTGAACAAATGCGCGAGTAGTTTTTAGTTAAGTCAAACACCATCATCGGTGTAAAAACAAAGATGTCACTGGAGTCATATACTGTAAGCAATTCAGCAATTGGCTGAATTGTTGTTTTCGACGCCATTTTTGTTTTCACAAATTTGACGGGAAAAACGAAAGAAAGAAAGAAGCAACGAAATTCAACGGCCGACCATAGTGAATCGCATCGTCGTGATTGCGTTCATTTTTTTAATATTTTTTAATCACATTTTAACCTTGTGATTTTAACTCAAAATACAAATATTTTGGTGAATTCTACTTCTGGCGGCGTGTGTACAAGTTTTGTGTGTTTTTCGGCACGTTCATCGTGTATATAATAACAGTTTAGATTGAACAATATTACGTGTGGATTACTCTTCATCAGCGTAGTAAAGAATAATTGGAGAAACGGCGGCAAAATAAGTTTCCAATTTAGAATCGATAATATCGTTGAAATGTCGAAAGCCAAGAAATTATCATTGCCCAGTAATGACTCAACAGAATTTTACAATTATAAACCGAAAGACTTGATTTGGTGAGTTCAAATTACTCCCTAACACAGCAAATGGAAGCATATTAACGAAATTCCAAACGGGAGCAAAGTATTATTTGACAAATGGCAGAAAAAATGGCGCACATAACCTAAAAGTGCAATTAAAAATTGGGGGGAAACATTTGAAAATAAATACTCGTGGCTAGAAGTGGCCTACTCTTCTGAAAATTAGATGTAGCTGAGCTACGTTAATAAGAAATGGCTTTAAAGTGAATTGAATAAACAGTTATTTTAACGTCGACAGCTTGCATTATTTCTGTCGCTCCGTTGACACTAAATAAGAGCTGTACTGTTGTGTACGATGATATCGTAGCTACATTCACCGCCCATTCTTAAATATTGGTATGAATGCTTCTTAACCACCATTATCAATTTTCTCTCTTGTGGTTTTAGCAAAGTAAATAACAATTTCCCGCGCAATCTTGTTTTCATAAAATAATTACTTCGCTTAACTGTTGGAATGTTGTACAAATATATTACTTAATTTAAATTTATGGATGATTTAAAGGTCTGCAATATTTATGTTTTATTTTTAAATTTCAGGGCAAAGATGAAAGGTTTTACACCATGGCCAGCAATGGTAAGTAAAATAATTAAACCCACAGATTACAAAATATCCAAGTTTTATTTTGACTGTACTTTTGCTTGCCACACTATGTGGCTGGTTTTTCATTGCTTTGTTTGCGTTACATTGTATGTGGCATCCAAATACATATAGTTTGTTATGTCTATACTGCCATTTGCGTTACAATTGGTGAAGGTTGTCAACAGCGACAATACCTCAAATAAAACATTTTAAAATTGTTTTACAAAACAAATCTGTTAACGTAAACTTTTATAATCACAATATGATACATAATAAAATAAAATAGCGGTTCAAAATATGTTTTCAAAAATATAACAATACTTAACTAAATTTAGAAATATTAGATATGTATATTGGTGTTTGTATTTATATATTTTTTCATACTCGTGTACATATTATATATGCTCTATATTTTCTCAATCATGTGTTATTTAGATTGTTGAACCCTCCATCGATCTTTTGAATCAACCGCGCAAAGCTAACACAAAAAGTGTGTTTTTCTTTGGAACACGAAACTTGTAAGTTATATTACTTATATATTTATAATAATGATCAAATCAAACAAGAATTAAATCTAAAGTTGAATATAAATTTTTATATTTTCATTAATCGAAACCCTTAGCGCTTGGATAGAAACGAATAATATAAAACCGTTCGAAGGTCCTTGGAAAGCCGAATTAGCAAAAGTTAATAAACCCAATTCGTTTCGTCATGCAATGGCTGATATTAATACTTATATTGAAGATCCCACAGAGGTTGATGCGGAGGTCAGCAAAAATACCATCAGTAATCATTCCACTGAGGCAGACTTCGATAAGATTCGCGACGGATTAACGGATGATGATACAACAAATGACATTCGTGGCATTGATGATGCTGATAATGGTGTAGAGACCATAACCGGTGATGTTGCGGTTGATTTGGATGATGTACAACCTTCTTACAAAACCCCTGTCAAGCGTACGCCTAAAGCCAAAGCGAGCGCTGTAGCTACAGTCAAGGCAAAAACATCTGTTAGTGGAACTGTCGCTAAATCATCAACAAAACGACGTCGCTCGTCACAAACAGCAAATAGCAGTTCAAAACGTAAACGAAATTCTTCAGTTGGTGCCCTTGAAGATCTAAATGATTATATAAATCGTAAGTCCACGACAACACCACCTTCACGACGTAAAATCAATCCCGACGCTTTGGCTCACATTGGCAGCACATCGCGGCGCAATGTCAACTCAATCGCTCTACTTGATCGTCCGGTAGTATCGCGTCCGGAAGCGCAAGCAATTGACATGAATGCGCGTTCCCAAACACTAGCAGAACGAGACATTACACCATCTCAATTGACATTTGGTTTTCTGGGTCTGGGGATCATGGGCTCAACCATTGTAAAGGATTTGCTATGCACTGGTCACAAAGTGGTTGTCTGGAATCGCACAATGTCAAAGGTAAGTCAAATGACATTAAGTTGAAGGTATCTGAATTCCTAGTTTGATAACGGTTATTTGGGAGATCTCGATTTTGTAGCCATAAATGCTTGAAATATATTTTATAATATTTGAAAGAATATAAACAATATTGGCGTTTTACAAAATAATAGCCCAGGACTTGAAATCAGGATCAATTAACAAATTAGTATATTATATTCCGATGATTGATATCGTTGGAGTCAAATCGGCTGTGTATGTGCTCGATACCATAAAAATAAGGTTACATCCGGTAAAATATTCTCAACTCCAAAAGTATTTACCAAAGCTTTTCGAGTAATTTTTACACCGTTATGAAATCAACAAAAATTGTCTTAAAAAATACTACGGCAGTGCCAACTATATTTCACAGTTGGTAACACTATATTTAGAATTATTTGTGCCCATCCGTCCGTGCAACGGATAACTTGAGAAAAAAGTGTAATACCTTGATGATACTTGGTACACGATTTGCATAATCGGAATGTCGTCACACCCATAAAGCGGTTTAATATGAGAGTTATCCAAAAATGTAAAGTGGAATATAGACAGAAAAACTTAAAAATATGTACCACCGCATCTCAAATCAGCTACGTTTATATACTAATTTGCATGTTATAAGCTCACAAATGTGTGTGAAGATAATTACTGTACCATATATGTATGTACAGATGAACATAAAATGTATAGTCTTAGTTTTATAAGTTTTGACTGCTATAGCCATCCTCTTCTCCATAAGTACATTACAATTTTGATAGGTAATGTTGTGTCATATATAAAATGTGCTTTGCATTGGTCATCTAATACATATATTGCACTTGGATATTCAAAATACTTGGAATAAGACTTTTCGTAACTTTAATTTGTTTATTGTTAGTCTTCCATTTATGAAGTAAACATTTATATTGTTAACTAAATTTAACCAAATTTGCAGTGTACACCGTTCGCTGAAGCCGGGGCTGATGTCAAAGGCACACCTATGGATGTGGTTGAAGCTTCAGATGTTATATTCTGTTGTGTTTCAGATCCAAAGGCATCAAAAGATGTGAGTATTTTAAAGTATAGTTCATGCAAAATATTCAAACCGTTCGTGCTACCTCGCGTATCATGAATTAGGCATGTCGAAATAATGCAGCAATATAAAAATTGTATTTCAGCTGGTATTTGGCAATTGTGGTGTATTAGGCGTTAAGGAAATGAACGGTAAGGCCTATGTCGAGATGTCGACAATAGACCCTGAAACTTCGCAAGACATAGCTGAAGGAATACAATCTGCAGGCGGGCGTTATTTGGAAGTGCAAGTAATTCTAAATATATTTTTATAGTTTTACTTTGTACGCTAAATAAGAATTTTGTTTGCATTCCTCGTCTGTAGATCCACGGCACACGACAAGAGGCCGAAGATGGTATGCTTATCATTTTAGCAGGTGGAGACCGTTCAGTCTTTGAAGACTGTCATTCCTGCTTCAAAACTATTGCTAAAAACACATTTTTCTTGGGCGGTAAGTTGCGTATACTTCATACATATATTCTCATAGCAACTTAGAAAGCTTTAATTCTAACTAAATGGCATAACGAATACCATAGCTCAAATTAAACTGAACCTCCATCTGGCTTTACTATGGACCGGCAGGTCTATGTATGGCGTGACAGCCAGCCAGTATAATCTAACCTAACTAAATGACATAATTGCATACAATGGTATCCTCTTTATAAAAACACATTTACCACTGTTTCAAAATGAGTGTACACTTCTTTATAAAAGCTTTGGCGATCTTTAAATATGGTTATAAAGCGTACCAAAAGTTAATTATTAGTTGCCTCGTAGAATTATAAAAAAATGATATTTTACGGCTGACAATTTTTTGTTTGAAGGGCGCTCAATTAGATTCTGCAATTTATTTGTTTGTCATGTCATTTCTAATTATAGCATAATCTGGAAAAAACCGTGTTGCGACTGAAATATGCTTAACTTTTCCGCACACATAACTTTTCTCAGCCCCTACCACTATATATAGAAGTATTCTTTTATATTACAATAGTCATTACTATTAAATACTGTAGTTTATTTTTCCGCACTTGGTTTTATTTTAATGTGCAATCTTATTTTTATCCGTATGTTTTAAAAACGCCTTACCCCAATTTAGCAGAAGTTGGGAATGCTTGCAAAGTAAATTTGATACTACAAACGATAGTCGGAGTCAGCTTGGTTGGATTAGCAGAGGCTTTAGCATTGGGTAAGTTATAACTATTCATAAATGCAACAATTAATATATAATTATCATGTTTTGTTTAATTGCAGCCGACCGTTTCTCAATTTCATTAAAGGACATTATTGACATATTTGAATTGACATCAATGAAATCGCAATTATTATTAGCCAAGGGCAAAGGCAAGTCATTGATTTACATATAATACGCTGTAAAGTAAATATAACAAAAATCTTCCATATATTTATAGAAATGGCCAAAGGAGACTTCAACCCACAGCAACCACTGAGTCACATGCAAAAGGATTTACGCCTTGTGCTCAGTATGGCGGAAAATTTGGACCAATCGATGCCTGTGACTGCAATTACAAATGAAGTTTTTAAGCACACAAAACGTCTTGGCTATAGTGAACACGATTCGAGTGCCGTATTTGTAAGATCCAGATTTTAACATTTAGTTAATACAGCAACATTTTAAATGAATATCTAATATGTGCGTTCCAATAATATGACACGTACATATCTATAAACAACAACAACAACAACAAAAAGGAAACAGTAAAATGCATCAATTCAAAGCATTCGTTCCTTTTACTTGTAATCCGTTGTAAAGAAAATTTCCAATATGCCCATTTATAACATAATAATTATTAGGAAATTAATATACTGTTATGCATCTACGCATTTTCGAAGTTAGGTTATTTCGAAAGCAATTATCAATGACGGCAACAAAGGTCAGCAGCAATTTTCCAAAACAAACAATTTAAAAGATCAGTATATATTTTATGAGCCACATATATAACAAAAGTAGGTAAAATTTGGTATCAGGCCCATCACAGTAGCAGTCAATAATAGACCATACATATAAATTTAATTGAAATGAATACTGACTGACGACTGATAAAAGTGCATTCAGATGTTTCAAGATAATGATACTAAAAAGTGGAGGACGCAATCTGTGTAGAATTAATACACGTGTTTAACATATATAAATATACTATATATATATATTATATGTATATATATACGATTTATGATAAGGTTTAAGAAGAGGAAAAAAATAAAAATGGCAAATATTTTGTGGAGATGACAATGAGGTCGAAAATGTAGTAACGAATGTGTAAATGTGCGCATACAAAAATTGAAAAATATCCAAATTAATATCGCATGGCGCATTTTGCAAATCATTTATATATTTGTTTTTATATACATAAATAAATAAAGAGGACAAACAATTATATAAACAAAATATATATTTGGTAAAATAATAATATGAAGAAGATAGTTGGGAATTAATATTACGAATGTAGGAATGCAATGGACTAGTTACACCAGGGTTGTTTCTAAGACGTGGTCTTAAAGTATATGTTTGTCAGGTATTTGACAGCCTCTTTTATAGTATATGGTGTGCGTAATCTTATTCAAGAAAAGACAAAACATGCTATTAATAGAAATTATCGTTTGTTTTTTTTTTTTTTAGTAATTATCTTATCCGAATGATTCGTAACAAAATTTTATATGAATAGTTAAAAATTCCGTAAATTTGATTTTTTTTTTGTTCTAACCCTGATTGCTTGACATTTACTTAGTACACAAAATAATAACACACGATTGCCTACCAGCAAACAAACTTAAAAACGTTCGTCGTTATTTTTATTTTCCAACGTATATGTGCTTTTTGCTTTCGGTAACATTTTATGTTAAATTAAATAACTAACTTTCATTTATTACTTTTCTTTTCTTTATTTCCAAATCTAATGTTTCTGATTCTTGTACATTTTGGATGGTATAACTTTATATCTAACCAAAGAAATAATTTACAAAATACGACCAATAAATTCTTCGTCACAAACGCCAAATGATTTCTTAGAACGTAGTATCTTACGGAAACTAGACAAAAATCATTTGTCTATAGCAATATACGAAGTGTACTTCTATCAAAAATCACAAGCCAAATATTCAGGAAACATTAATTTTCTCCACACTGGATACAGAGTTGTAGCTGCTATTATGGATTGGGTATTAAAAATCAAGATGCTGAAAATGAACAGAGCAGCTGTCGAGAACTGACATCTACATCTATAAATAAGAATAATAAGTTTACAGCGGAGTTTATTGACAATTGGACAAGAGTCTCTAAATCTTTAAAAAGTAGTTAATTGAAAAAGATATTATTTTAATAATGAGCGCATATTCACACACACTAATTAGCTGTGGAGCCTTACCCGAAATTAACCTAAGTGGCTTCTATTAGCTTGTTTATATTCTCTTAAAACACTTGTTTATTAAACATTTAGTTTTTAATATTTTGATATTAGCTAGTTAGTTCACAGTAAATCCTCGATTATCCGGTGCAAGCTCACATAGTTTTACCAAGTATTTATTATGAAGTAAAATAGTTTCAATAACATAATGCATTTTGATATGTACAATTGTATTTGCATAAAAATGGTATTGAACAATATTGGAAGGCAACTTATACGTATGAAAATATATATGAACAAACAAATATATTGAAATTAAATAATGTGAATATGTATTAAAAGTACAAAGGAAGTAATGGGAGTAATAGACTTTCGCTACAGAGTGTTCACTCTTTCTCAAAGTATCCAATACTTAACTTTTTCTACTATATAACGAATGATATAATAATTTTTGATAGTATACAATGGATTTGGTACGACAGTGCTAGAAGGTAAAGTTCTGATTCACAAAACAACAAATAATTGATTTGAAGTAAAGCCCTTATTCAAGTATATAAAGTTGCGTTACTAGAAAGGGTGTTATCTAATGAAAATATTTTTTAATCCATAACAATGTGAAATAAACCTTTTAATGTTCTCCTCATGAGTGTCTTGTTTACATTTTCACTGAAAAAACACTTGTTTGGACCGAAAGTTTGATTTTTTTTGTGTCATAAAAACGAATAAAACAGCTGGTTTTGACAATTTGCAGTAACACCTTTCTCCCTATGACCCGTTAGATGACTTTGCCGACAATCAATCTGAACCTTACCACCCAAGCGGGGATTAGATAACCGTTACAACAACAACAGCAATATGAATTAAAACACTTTTGACAAATTGTTGTTTTTGGTCTATCGACAAAACCTTTATAATGAATTATATACAAAATGTAATTTTTTTGAGTTAACGAAACAAACTTATTTAAATGTATCATGAGTAAAACAGAAAATTTTTGCAGAGATAATTTATGACTGATGTTTGAATACCCGCATTCATTGTTTCAACGAGTCAATAAACTAACGAGTTTTCTTTGACAGGCATATATCAAGCAACGAACGAACGAAAACCATTTCAAAAGCGAGTTACAAAAAATAGAAAATGGCGAACTTTGCTTTTCATTTTCCAAATTTGACTTTAATTTTCTGTTGAAATTAAAACGGAGATATCTTCCTATTAAAAAACGAGAGGCTGTATTAATATGCAGTTATCGATACAACATATAAGCAACTTAAATTGACATGTGTGTTGTTTAAAATCTAAATATGAATATGTCGTCTGCCATTGCGTGTTGCCAAGGACTGTAAAGAAAATCAACACCATTGTGACAAAGTATCAGCAAGTTGTAGGTACATACTTAACATCCGCAAACGAATATTGTTATTATTAATTGATTAAAGTATTACTTGCAAAAACAAAACACAAAACAATCTTACTATATAAATCTAAAAAGTGTAGATTTTATCAAAAGTTGATGAATTTCAATGGGTAACCAGTCTGTGTATCGTGATGCGAAAAGCAACAACAAATTTGCGATTGTAGCTGCCAATAAATATGCCAGTACTCTTCTGAATCTAATTCGATTGGGTGCTTAGAGATTGTTAACTGTGGGTGTGTGACTAATTTCCTTAAAAATTTATTCGAATAATACATTTGACCGGGTCAAAAATTTTCAAAACGATTGGAATAGATGTGGATTTAAAGAAAGGCAAGTGGAGTTATCAGGCCAAATGCCAATGTAAGTTCAATACGCCGTACATGAAAGTTTACCCATATTCATTACTTTTTATCTACATTTCATCAGCGTTTATTCATTCTATATAGCTTTCTTAATTATTTTGTATTTTTTACTACTTGCATATTTCCTTCTGCAAAATTTCACTGACAAATTGTGTCAAATGTAAGAATGGCTCACCAATTCAGACGGTGTGCGAGGAAATAGGATCTATTGCTAAAAATATGGTTATTTCTTTCGTTCGAATAACAAAAAAAAATTGAGGTTGGTTCGAGGTCGTAAAATTTTTACATTTCCCAAAGACATGACTATATTAGCAGTTGAACTGTCAACGGTTTTGACATTTCCACTTTTATTTACTTGTGTGTTTTGAAAGTGTATTCAATTGCGTTGACATTTTTCTGTCAAAAAAAAAAAAATATTGTAAATGTCATGTCATATGAAAGTACTTCGAAAATCGATGGAAATACATATCTTAAATTTAACACGATAATGATGCTATAAGATGGTATTATAAAATCCCTATAAATTTGAAGTATTTGACAATATAAATGTAAAAAACATATGTGTGATATGCTACAAAACTTTATTTAAAATTTGTGAAATAGAAACGAAATAATAAGTACAGATAGTTTTAATAAAACAGTGATTTATTAAATTCCTATACAGGAGTTATACATATCCATGCATACAACTCTGAATTGAAAGTTTTAGATAGGAAAATAACAAAATGCAAAAGTAAAAGAGATAGATGTAGTATTATACCTTTAAAAGTATAAAAGATAATGAGTGACAAAGGATAGGAAGAGAAACAAAACGTGAGAAGAGATAAAGATAAATCAAGACGTAGAAGAAATTCCCGATATACTTCAACCGTGTGAAGTAGTTGCTAATCTTTTGTCTGCCGAATTTGAAATATTATGTTGACGAAAATTATTAAATAGTTATCAAAAAATATGTGTAAACCGCAATGAAGAGAAACGTGGGTGAAAATGCGAAAAAATTGTGATCAACGAAAATCTATTAATAAGTAGAAAATTGTTGGCAATTGTCTAGTGATAAAGTGAAAATATTACAAATACATGCTCATTTAAAATATAAAATGTGTTAAGAGTATTGTAAGAATGAAGGATAAACGGTGAGAAAAAAAATAAAATTTATATGAAAAGATGAACGACAAAGTCGAAGAAAATTTGTCTGTGTGTGTGAAAAGACATTGAATAAGTAGAGAAAAAATTATTGCAAAATAAAAGCCATTAATCTGCAAAGAGTGGTCAATTTTTCTTTTTCTTCTTTTTAAATGGAATTATTGTTTATAAAAAGTTGTCAAGTGTTTTCTAATAAATATGTTAATGTTTATAAGTGATGTTATCATCTTTAAGGTATAATATTTGTGTAAAATTATGGTGAAACAATACGTTTAAAACGGCCACTTAAAAAAAGAAAGTTATAAATGTACAAAATCTTTCATATTAGTAAAGTATTAAAAGGCTTAATGTAAGGATGATATCTTGATAATAGTAGGGTCAGAAGTACTGACATAAAAACCAAAGTTCATCAAAATCAAAAAGCGTATGTGTAAAGTTAAAAAATTTCGCGATTGACAACTGAAAGAAGATTTGGTAGGAGTAGGAGTAAAAATGGTAGAACACGGTTCAATCAAGCCAGCAAGGTGATGAAAATCATGAGCAAACTGCGCAATAAACCCAAGGAAAATCTATTTCACGATACACAACTAAATGTTTAAATCCGTAAATCAAACAGTAACAAAGATTAGCTAAGTGAAACCCTAATGAAAATAAATGTTGGCCTCAAAAACACTAAACCCAATATTTTATACACCGGTTCTGCTTCTTATATACTTATAATAGCAACAACTATTTAATCAACACATATTGATAGAATAAATAATACAATGCACCATATTGCCGTTTGCGCGCCGAGAGAATGATAATATTCATCGTAATTGCAGATGCTACCGACTTCACCGAAGGTGCACGAACGCAACGAATAAAAAACAAACAAAAAACTAACTAGCAGATGTATAGCAGATAATTTTAAACAAGCAAAATATAAATGGGACTAAATCACATTATATACATTTGTATATATTCATAGATACCATGGGTTATACACCTATAAAGTAAAAAAGAGTATGATAATCAAAATTATATGGATGCTAAATAATTCTTTTAAATCCTAAAATACCAGGTTACAATAAAATGCGATTCAAAACCCAAAAAAAGATTTCTAAATAAAATCAAATTATCAGTCTACATACTTTATAATATGTTTTCGATTCTCATAACTGTTGTGTTGATTTCTAAACTAAACTGTGGGCATCGTATATCCCTCAAAGCGTTTTAATATTATCATCCCATTTTAGATTATTTTTTAACTGTTCTTCAACTTTTTATTAGAACGATGAGGAAACCCTCTATTATTTTAATTATATATATGAAAACATAAATTCTATATATGTAGATTGGAAAATTACATTTTACCACTTTTTCGCAGACTTTCCCATAAGAAATTGGATTGGATGTAGTAAAGATCAAGTAAATGTTATAGCGCTTGGTGTAGATGTCTTTGATCTAACCCCAGTATTAGAAAAATGCAATGTTGAAAAATCATCATAATTTTGCTTGTTGATTCGAAACTAGTAGCAAAAACTTTTTTCTTCTCAATATAGTAATATTTATTATTATTGCATATACTGAAACATTGTTTTCATCACTACTATAATTACAATACGAATTTAAATATCCTCAATCAGCTGACTTTTCGGCAGTACAATTTCTTTGCTCTATTTACCACATTTACTTTCTTTCTTGGCAGTAGTTCTTTTATTGAAAAAAACCCTTCCGTTGTGTTTCCAAAATCACTTTAAAAAAGTTATTGCGATACCTTTGCATATTAAAATAAAAACTATTAACTTGCTGTTTTCGAGAAAGTGTAAAATCCTTGGAAAAAAATTTAATCAACTTTAACTCCAACGGTAACGCCTGTAACAGCAGCATTTATCGGAAAAAATAATAACGTTTGTTAAGAAAAAACCACACATTGAAACAAAAATGTCTTAGTTGGGTATGCGAGATTTAGTAAAACGTTTACTAAACCCAATGAAATGGATATGAAAAAAATTCCAAAATCACGGTAAGTTTAGACATATGCATAATAGCGTTTTTATATATCTTATTAAATATTATTGTACAACAATTCTTTGAGCTTCGACACGCGTGCGATATTACAAACATTTAATGATATGTATTTGTGATATATAAATTTATGCAGTAAAGTTTACTCTTAACTTCGCTAAACAAAATTTTAAAGGATAACGAAAGGAGTATTCTTTCATATATATACTTGTAATTTTTAATAGATTATTTATATATGTATATGTCAAGGGAATTTGAAATGAATGCATCATGCCAGACTAAATATGGCTACAAATCACATTTGTTTTACAGTCCGTATTCATTTCTCAAAATATTGTATATTCATTAAGTAAAATATTTGTACAGATATTTTGTCTAAGCGCTTCTAAACGCTCTTGAATATTTTATTTCCTTGAGCCCTTTACTGCTGTCTGTTGCCATTAAACACCTGAAATTCCTATTCAAATACGTAATTTCTACTTATCTATGTTGGTTTTTAAGAACAGTAAGAAAGTATCATTCAGCATTTGGCTGGGCTTATAATTGTATAAACTGACCTAGATATCTAACATTTTTGATACTCTTGGGAAATTTCATTGCTCTTAGTTATAAAAAAATGTAATATGTAACTACATGCATATATTCTATAGTTAAATGTTCACTGCTATTATTGTGAACACAACTGTATATTATTATTGTAAATAATTCGACTATTTTGTCTCCATGCCTGGTGAATTGTTTAAAAAATATATGAAGAAACTAAGAAGCAAGATTTAATATAACTCCTTATTCTTAAGGTTTTATATGAAGATGGGAGTAATGATTAATATATTTCTAGTAGCATTATGCTCATCTACTCGTATTCTACCTGGTCCACAATGAGATTCTGTCGTGCCTTTGCGAAACTGAATGAACAAGCGTTAGACAAATAACTAAAAAATGCATTTAAGTAGGCGATGTAACTTTGCATTCACTTTTAATATTATCTACTATGCCTATGTACCTATACTGAATTAAAAAATTTTGAAATCAGTTTATAAAAATATTTAATTATCTATGCATATGTATGCACACTAAATAATTTGCGCATGTGATGTGGACTTTTGTGTACTTTTGTATGCAACACTTTATATGATGTTTTTATATAAGTTATGTGCTGAAATATTGCTACGCATGTAATTTAAATGAAAAATTCGACAGTAATTAAGAGGCACCAGAACGTGCTAATAACATCAACAAACAAAATACAGTAATATACTTGTATGTAAGTCCGTATTGAAGAAAGGAAAGAAATTTTTAAATAGATAAGCTATAATTTCAGAAAAGGTTGCTTACATACTTAATAGTAATCATAGTTCAGTTATAAAGTAAAATTTTCAGGTGAAAAGCCTTGAAATCACAAATTTTCACATTCATATTTTCAAAATATAACTAATCGAACGAACACAAAGATAAGCTTATCAACATTTCATAGATAGCCGGAATGGTTTTTAATAGTGTGTATATATAACTTTGTCTGTAACATAATTATGTTTCGCACATAATGTAAACTAATTTCTAAAATCTCTATTTTAAAATCCCGAATTACTAAAATATAAAACAGACATAGGCAATTTATTTAGCACTACCTGTCTTCATCTAAAAAATCGATCATACTAGTGAGAGTAATAGTTTAATTTTGAAAAGTATTAAAATATTATATTATCGCGAGTTTGCTTTTATTGTCAATTTAGTGGCTTTGTAGTTTACTGACTTAAAGTATGTATGGCCTTATTGTCTTCTAAATTCATTTTTTCGTGAAAAAAGTTTTTGATTAAAGGGTATACCTAGTGCGAAAACGTCGATTTTTGGGAATGTAAAAAAAACTGCTGTATCGATTGATTTGAAATTTTCGGGGTATATTTATACATGTTTCAAGAATATACAGTAAATTTTTTGGAAGCAAAATTAAATATATTTTGAGTCAGATGAGATATCTGACGGCGTTAAAAACACATCCTGCACTGCTGCAGTGATTCCGGCGGCAAAATTACCATTTCTTTGACGCCGCGATCTGATGGTATGTGCGGATAGAGGAGGTCCTCATTTCTCTATTGTAAATATAAGTTCACATATTGCTTACTGATATAAAAGTAAAAATTTCCTCCTGCCATAGTTATACATGCACTTTTTCGATGTTTTTCAGTTATATTTCGTTTATAAACCTGCTTATTATTCTTATACTATAACAGGAATAAAATGTCGTATATAAAAGAAGCGAAACGGTAGATAATACTTTCGTGAGGATGAGTGGCATATAAGACACAATTTATTGTTATATCATTGACTTATATTTTCAGGGATTGTAAGGCGCAGCCTCTGTTCACAGACTGTTTTGATCTCTCATTTAGGGTTCTATTACTTTTTACACCCTGAAGCTGAACTCATCATACATGTAGTCATATTGAAGTTCAAAACCAATTTTCGTTACTATATATGTACAATAGTTAGTAAAAAATGTGTAAAAACTTTATTATAAAGTAAAATTTAAGTAATTTAAATAAATTATAAAATTGAATTTCGTATTAAATTTTTCAAATATAGGATTCCAACAATGATGTATGGATTCATGTACTCGGACCTGAATAGCATCGAAACAGTGTTGAAATGTTTTAACAATTTTTGAATTCGCTGAAAACCAAAATTAGTCAGCAGTGGCTATTTGTATATATATGTGTAACGTAAATTTGTTTATATATCAATTGCACGTTTATTTACATATTTATTTGTACATTTGTCAGTATGATTCTCTCATGTTTTGAAAACTGGCACGTGATGAGAATAACGACTTTTCCTATTGTCAACTGTTTATTTCTTTCTGATGCTATTGTTACCATTGAAACTTGTAAAATGCTCATATTTTTATGTACTAACACTACATAAAAACCCACTAAAACTTAACCTTTGCTAATATTTTAATTGGTAAATGCTAGAAATATTAGCAAACTGATAACTGCAAGTGCTAATCTCAAATTCAATACGACATGTATAAGATTATTTGGAAATTTTGCAATTAAATATAGTTATATTTATATAAATTCCTTCAATGCGAGACAAACACTTCTTACTTTCATTCAAAACATGAAATTTGATCGATCAGAAAACAATTACTGCCCAATAAAATCAAGTTTTTTAAGCTTTGCTTTATAACTTAGTATTGGTAAGACGTGCCGCAATCGCAGGTCCTTATCGTGAATCGCGTACCTCGTATCGATTACTACGTAGAAAAACAATGGTATTTCTTCTTTATTCTTTTGTTAGTAGTTAGCAGTAGCTTTCATTGTTATCTGATGCTTCCCGATGTAAAACGCATGGTATTGTTCATGAAATTTATTCACCGTATAGCAGTGAAGTTTGATGCATACGATGGTTTGTTTGTTTGTAAGAACAGTTAAAATAACTGAATGTCATCTATTGACAGTGGACCCAAAGTTATCTTAATATTCCCTCGAACAAAGCTTGTAAAATATATGTAATTTTTGTCAACTATTTGTTGCAATAATTGAATTATTAATAAAAATGAACTGTATGAACAGAGGAACTACAATATTTTCATAAATCGGTTCTTACTTGTCGCCATGGTTCCTGAACAGGGTATATTAAGTTTCCCACGAAGTTTGTAACACCCAGAAGGAAACGTCGGAGACCCTATAAAATATATACATAAATGATCAGCATGGTGACCTGAGTTGATTTAGCCATGTCCTTCTGTCTGTTCGTCCCTCCGTCTGTCCGTCCTTCTGTATATATGCAAACTAGTCCCTCAGTTTTTAAGCTATCGACCTGATATTTTGCACCTGTCCTTTCCTCACTAAGAAGCTGCTCATTCGTCGGAACGGCAGATATCCGACCACATATAGCATATACCTGTCATACAAACTGAACCATCGGAATCAAGTACTTGTATGAAAAACTTTTTTATTTGACGTAATCTCTTAACGAAATTTGGCATGGATTCTTATTAAAGGCAACAATGTAATCTCTAAAGAAATTGTATAGATCGGATAACTTAAGTATATAACTGCCATATTAACTGAACGATCGGAGTAAAGTGCTTGCATGGCAAATTTTTTTATGTGACGAGATATCTCCACGAAATTAGGCATGAGTTATTGCCTAAACCAACAATGTAATCTCCGAAAAAATTGTTCAGATCAGATCACTATAGCATATAGCTGTCATACAAACGGAACCATCGGAATCAACGGTTTGTACGGAACCTTTGTATTTGTGAAGAGTATTATAGCTTCGGTGCAAGCGAAGTTAACGTTTTTTCTGGTTTCCAGACGAACTTTTATAATAAAGCTTCACTGACTTCTGAAAATATTCCACACTCCCTTAGTTATAAAAAATGCAAGAATACTTGATAGCCGGCTTCGTCCGAACTGTGTCCTTTCTTACTCGCTGTGCAAATGATTTTGCTTTTTAACAGGATGACGTTTATTTATAAACTCTTTCATCACTTTACATGTTTTAATAACTTACTGGATAATAAATTTCCTTAAAATTGAATTTTCTTGCAAAAGCTTATCCTTATACATATTGTTGGCTATAAGTTGAGGCGTGATTACATTTGTTCAGTTTTCAATTAGTGGTTTTTGTAAAGTGTAAATTGCCTAACACCGTAATGGCTAGTTAAGACTCTTCTATGGTCATACTTAAGCTAATATAGATTTAAATTTTTCATTTCACATTTTTTCTTGCCACTTCGCTGTTTGCAATTTCGTGTTGTCATTTCTGATACCTCAACAAAATGTATCATTCAACTGCATGCATGCGTTTATACCTATGTGTGTATTTGTTTACGCTTCGCATACTAATTACATTTGTCCGGCATGTAATTGTATTTACTTTGACTCGCTTTTGCTGTTCTAATTCTTGTTTTATTTCAACTTCTGCCAACCGCTTCTTGCTTTCAATTCTACAGCACTTATTTTATAATCAAATTTTTAATTGAAA